TTTAAAATACCTAGTAAACAAAACAATGTCAAAGTTTTAAATTCAAAGTTAGGTTAAGTTTAAATAGCGGACGCGACGCGAACAGAACTCTTTCCGATCCGATAACTATAAATGAAGAGAGTTAATACCACCTCACGTAAAGGAAATAACACCTGGCCTTATTAACGTCCATGCACGCTATTCGGTTTAGAGATATCTCTCTATTACGCTGTTTATTGTTATTTTACGCGAGTTTATTTTTGCGCACAGGAAATTTGACTCGTTTGCACATCGTCATAAAAAACAACTTTCGTACCACGAATTAGGGACAAGATTTGTATCTGTATACTTATAGGATACCTAATCTGTGGTCGAAGTAAGCAAAAATACGAAGTATTTATTACATAACTACTTAATCTGACGCCAGATTCCATGCGCTTGGGAAAATACTCGCCTTCTGTCTTTATTCAGTACACCTTATTTTACTAAGCGTGTGACGCACCCAAGACCAGAAATGCCGACCCTTTTTAGAATTTTTTTAGAATTTAGAATGAGTGGGAGGGGGGTTAATCACTTCGACCTTACAGATCCATTGTGTCCCCCTTTCTTGAATCATAACTCATCATACAGTCCCAGGGCTTTGACAAAAGCCAGTATCTGGGACGGTTTTATAGAGGGTAGTTCTCCATCTCCAATATAAGTCGTACCAAAATTCATGGCACGAATGGTTGTCATCTCGGCGCACTCAGTGATGAGGTGTACTGGTGTTTCCCCATCTTCCCCACAGAATCTGCATTCGCCGTTTCTTCTTAGTTTCAATCTACTGAGGTGTTCGTTGAGGAGACAGTGTCCTGTTAAAAACCCCGTGACAATCCGAAGATTGTTCTTACTCAGACCCAGGAAGATCTGTGATTTTTCTTCATCATAAGCCCTCAGAAACTTCTTCGAGTGTCTTAGACCATTGGAAAATTTCCATTCCAGGTTGCGGATGGAATCTTCCAAGTTCTTGAGTTCCGCCTTGAGTTGGTTACCACTTGGAAAGCAGAACGGTTCTGGTTCAGTTAGTGGAGTGTTCGCTGCTTTCCTAGCTAGATTATTTGCTTTTTCATTGCCTTCTATCCCTTGGTGAGCAGGCACCCAGTGTAGGAGGACTTTGTTTTCTTTGCCTAATTTATTCAGCTTCTCTATGCATTCTTTGACCAATTTCGAATTGATTGATACTGAGTTGATCGCCTTTAACGCTGCTTGACTATCAGATAAGATGGCTATTTCTTGTTTCCGATAGTTCCTATCTAAGATAAGTTGTACGCATCTCTCGATAGCGTAGATTTCTGCCTGTAGGATACTAGGGTAAGTGCCCATTGGTTCGGAGTAATTAGCTCTCGGCGCAAACACTCCGATCCCTGTTCCCGTATTGGTTTTGGAAGCATCAGTATACCAAGTTATGGTATGGTCTTTTAACTGCTGGGCAAGCGTTTCGCTCTTCCAATCCTTCTTATTGCTCAATACTACATTGACATGTTTGTCAAAGTTGTACGTTCTTGGCATATCGTCCACTGGGAGTTGCATGAGTTGTATTTCCTTTTTGAGGGTGTTCCAAGCCCCTGATCTGACAATTCTCCCAGTACTAATTCCGTTAGTGACCATTCTAATCATTGTCGCATTGGCATATCTACCAATGACAATGTGCAGTGGTGTTAGATCTAGAATGACCTCCATTGCTGCTGCTGGACAGGTTCTCATGGCTCCTGTGATGCAAACACATGCTAGTCTCTGGACTTTGCATAGGTTTAGCCTTGCCGTCCGTTGCTCTAATGCCGACCCTTAGTAGATATTGTATATAGGATCGTAGAGAAAAAATATACCTGAAGGTACATTTCTAAAAAAATTAATGAAAACTATCAAAATAATTTAATTATTTTGCAAGGATTAAGGTAAAAGTAAAAAAGAAAATAAAGATACCCAAAGAACAGGAATAGTACCAACTTGAACCACATTGATGTGGTTGTCAACAACAAAGACAGAGGGACAATCTATTACACTATCTTGCACAGTCTTAAGAGCGATCGGCTCAGTAACTATCAAAACATGCATAGAAAATCGGAACAAATTAGGCAAATAAAATAAAGTCCTCCTAATCTGGGTGCCCACTCAGCAACCCACCAAGGGAAGAAGGTAATGAAAAAGCAAACGATCTAGCTAAAAAAGGGGCAAACGTCCCACTAACTGGACCAAAACCGTTTTGATTCTCAAGTGGAAACCAACTTAAAAGAGAACTCAAGAACCTGCAAGACTCTATCCGCAACCTGGAATGGAGATCCTCCAAAGGTCTAATACATTCGAAAACATTCAGGACTTCCGATCGAGAAAAATCAAAGATTTTCTTTGATTTAAATAAGAACAATTCCCTGATTTTCAAGGGGTACTAACAGGACACTATGTCCTCAATGAAAAGCTCAGTAGACTGAAGCTAAGAAACAACGGCAAATGCAGATTCTGTGGGGTAAATAGGGAAACACCAGAGCATCTCATCCTTGAGTGCGCTGGACCGGTACCCAGTTATACGACTGATATTGTAGATAGAGAACCAACCTCTGTTATAAATAGATATAAATAAATAAAGCCAACTTATTTCTAAGGAATGATTCATTTAGATAGTAAAATGCTTTTTATCCGAAGTTTTCCAACTTTGTCTGGATCAACATGTGAAATCTTACGATTTTTCAAGGTCTTAGAAATAAATCCAAAATAACTTTGCCAATCTTTTAATTAAAAACTTGCCCCATCTCTCGAAACTCACCAATCATTTATCATGTTCGATTTTCAATTAGACCCTCTTTGCAAATTTACTTTTCGACACAAAGTTTTCTCTTTATCTGGAAAACTAATTACTTTCTATCGGCTTCCGGGACCCTCTCCCATACCGTCACACCGAGAGAAAAACTTTATAAAAAATCGACTTTTACTTTGACGTCAAGCGAAAAAATCAGCCTGCTATTCTTGTATTATTCGAGTAAACAAAAGTATGAAGTGATTTATCAATGTAACGGGACGTTATCAATGCGAAAACTTAGTTGAAAAAGCTATTTTTTAACGCGGCTTGTTTTCGGAAATCTTCAGCGGTTTGCGGGAAAAAATTGCGTTGAAATGGTATCAACTGTCTGAACTTAAAAAATGAGCCAAATATTTTCTCAATCCTCTTTAAAAACAAAAGGGACAGGATTATTGGAAATTTGAAATAAGATACGGTCCTATTAGTCTAAGATCCGGCTGCAAGATTATCACGCTCATTACATATTTAATCAACACCTAATTTTTACGTATATTTATGAATAGGAAAATATTTTAACGTCTACAGGGTGGCTCAAAAAAGTGTGAGTCGATCGAGATGATTTTTTTAAATGGAACACCATGTATATTATTGCTTTTTTGGCTTCCTTTCTGACCACTTTACATAATCCTAAGATATTACTAAGTATTTACTATAGTTGGTCTGTACTTACTTTGCTATAAATATCGTAATCTTAAACCATACAGGGTGTTCAAAATGCTATGCCAAACTTTCTAAAATATAAAATAGTTTTTCTTCTTTTTTTAATGGAACACCCTGTTATTATTTTTGTTAATAAATAACACTCTGTTGGTATTTTTTAATTCGCTTTAATCTTTGTGAGATGGAGAATTAAAAAATGATTTTTTTTTGTATTTAAAGCATTTTAGAATTTTTAACTGTTCCATTTAAAAAACGAAAAAAACTATTATATATTCCCGAAATTTATGAAATACATCCTACCACATACTTTAGGTTTGCACCAATGTTCCAATTGAAAGCAATTTTCAGGAATATCAACTCCAATATCGAGCCACTAGACAACAAACACCCACATAGTCACATTTTTTTATTATAATTAAATTGTGTGTACCAATTTATTTTCTGGCGTGTGTTAGACTAACTAAAAACTAAAAACAAACAAATGAAGTTAACAATGTTGTTATTTAAATTTCCTTACTTTTGGTCAAACCAGAAGTAATATTCAAAATTTATTCGATAGAAATCAACGAAATGGCAGTAAGTTTAATAATTTTTGTCACCTGGTATGGTTGTTATACAGGGTGTTTCAGAACGCATGCCATCTATCGTGGGAAGATTCTTCACGTGAAAATTATTTTTTAGAGAGATTTATTTTTTATATCAACATAGGGTCCGATTCTGCGTTATTTCATAGCTACAGATGATTAAAATCTTTATTTTTTTTGGATCTTTAATAATTTTCTTCCATGTACTTTTAGCGATACGAATGAAATTTTGAAGGAAAAAATTACTATAAGTGCGACATATTTTAATGCTAAAACAGTGTTAAAGTAGTAGTAAAAACAGTGCATTAGAGACGTGCATATGGGTTATACTGAAATATTTTTCTAAAAAATACATGTGCACCACCTACTTTTTTCTCCTATTAGCAAAATTGTGGAGACCATTTAATGCCGATTTAAAGTTGTCTCTTAATATTTTGTCGATTTCTATCTCCTTGATGAGATTAAAGCACTTTTATTAATCACAATTATAAAAATTAAAATAAATTTTATATGTTTATAGGACCTTTTTTTCATATTTTTTGATGATGAATCAATAAATACTTATGTAATAGACTTATTATTAGGCAAATTAATAAAACTGCGTTTATTTTTAAGGAGACCGAGATCTACAAAATATCAAGACACAACTTTTAATCAGCATTAAACGGTCTACAGAATTTTGTTGCTCAATATTTCATTGGAATCGCTAAAGACACGCTAAAAAATATCATTATCATTAAAATAGCTAAAATTGTAATAAATCGAAAAAAAAATAAGAATTTAAACCCCTGTAGCGAAGCAATGCAGAATTGGACCTATGTTGATTAAATAAATCTTATTTTTCAGTGAAAATTTTCCCCACGAGAGATAACACATTTTTTTGAAACGCCTTGTATGTTTCTAGAATTGCCTTTTAGTTATGCCTTATAATTATAACAACTTACCGTTATCCACATTGTAGCCCATACAGCAATGAATCTGCACCAACCAAAATAAGACTGCTACAAAAGTAGTAATGCTTCTAATCCCCACCATGTTTTGAACTATTTCGAAAATTGACACTACTTTTACTACCGAAAGTCACTCAAAGTCATATTTCGATTACACCAAACAGTCACACCATTTCCCGAAACGTCAAATCGTAGTAATAGTCATGTCGGTTATTTCCGCTTCTTTTTTAAATTAACCACTTCTACCGAAAGGATAAAAAAATTCCAAGTCCGTTTATTTTGAAATTCTTCTTTTTGTTTTTCGAACGACTATAATTTATTGTAATCGGCCTTTTGTCGAATTTCTTCTGATCCGCTAATACTTTCGGTTGTTCGGAATCTGGTCCGTGGTTTTAAAATTCTTATCTCATGGCGAATCTCTCAGTTCTTCGGGCACTTTTTGATACGATCGGCTATATCGTAAATTTTTATGATCGCTTAGGTCGATGCGACGCGACGCTCGAAATGACCCTTCTTCACGAACGATCTGTAACAGAAAAAAATAGATTAGCATTAGGAGTTTGTTGTTTTAATATTTTTGTTTGTTTTTATAAATTAAAAATTCCGTCCATACCAATCTATTTATTTTACTAAAAAAAGTTTCTAATATTTTTTAAGTTATATGGATGGGTTTAAATATAAATCCGTCATGCGTCGTCTCTTGTTGTTTTAAACCAGTTTTATTGGTTTATTTTAAAAACGACAGATCATATTTCAATTTTATTGGTTTGACGGAAAGATGAACGATAAATGGACCCCAATGCGTATGAACTCCCCTTTAGATTTTTGAGGATTGTCAAAGTCTTGCCAAATTATAGGTTACAATTTTGTGTCAACTTATGTCAAATTCCCTGCGTTTTGGAAGATGATGCATTATGATTCGTGTTTTTACGTGTGTTTTGTGTCTTTTGAAATCAAGTGGAGGAGAAATCGAGGGAAAATTAACTATAGACCCAGAGCACAGTTTATAGTTAATACTCGGTGCCCAGGCAGAAAACCTTACACACCAATAAAGTTACCATCAATAAAGTTTGTAAGTATATTGTATACCATCTCGTCATAGATAAGTGCATCTCGTATATGGTTCAAGGATCGTACTAAACATAATATATTAAAAACTGGAGTAGCTGTAAAATAACGACATCACACGATAGGTAAATAATGGATTTTAGTACTGCAGAAAAATAATGTCAAAAGGTACTGGTTTAAAAAAATTAAGATTAAAGTGATATAATCAACCTTTAAGGTATAAAATTCGGTAAGTGTTATCACAGATTAGGTATACTATATGTATACAGATAAAAATCTTATCCCTAATTCGTGGTACGAAAATTGTTTTTTATGACGATGTGCAAACGAGTAAAATTTCCTGTGCGCAAAAATAAACTGGCTTAAAATAACAATAAACAGCATAATAGAGAGATATCGCTAAACCGAATAGCGTGCATTGACGTTAATAAGGCCAGGTGTTATTTCCTTTACGTGAGCTGGTATTAACTCTCTTCATTTATAGTTATCGGATCGGAAAGAATTCTGTTCCCGTCGCGTCCGCTATTTAAACTTAACCTAACTTTGAATTTAAAACTTTTAAATTGTTTTGTTTACTAGGTATTTTAAAACTAAAGGGCTAAAGTGCTTATTTCCAGTGCTTTATTGTTCAACGTCTGCCAGTGGGTTTAGGGCAACAAGCAACAAATTCTCTTAGAAGAGCTAAGTCGTCATCTGCTTTAAACCTAAGCCTCTTTATAGGTTCTTTAATATTGGAAGAGGTGGAATCCATATTTTGGGCCATATTTATTTAATTAAAACTAATCCCAGCTACTTAAATACCAAATTACCAATAAAACTAATGTAATAATTCAAAACAATTCAAACATAACCTAAAATAAAAGATCTCGCCGGCCGGCCCCGGTTGTCAAATACCCGCACATGCCCATTTAAGCAATTTTTAAACGTTATTTAGAAATAGCGCTTGGTGTAATTGATCCGCAAATTACATCAGGCGGTAACGTTATTAGCGGGTGTTGTGTTAAAAATTGACTCGCGCATATCGTAACTTGATCGTAACCATGATAAGGTACGCGTAAATACTGCATGACGCTATTCGGTTTTCTGATATCTCTCTAATAACCGTGCCGGTCAGGCGCTGTGCACAATTTTAGAGGCCATACGTGGGCGTGCTATGTGCGCAAACTAGTAACCTAACTAGTGCCCGATTCCGAAAATTGGAACCACGAAAAACAATAATGAAAAAACAAAGTTTATAATCTGTATGATCTGTGGTGTTATTATTAATAAAATAGTTCGTTTTATTGATGTTGTTTTATTTATTGTGGAATATTACAAATTTGTATTTGTGCATAAGTTATATTGATAAATATAATAATAAAATGCGAGAAGCTTGAAAGTAAGAAATAGTTCTTTTCTATTTTTTTTTGTATGTGGTGTTTTGTTTTTGTTTGTTTTGTATTAGCACATACCGTTTTTTTAAATAAAATAATTCGATTAGATTTTTTTTAGTTTTATACAGTTTTTTTCGCAGTATTTTGAGGTATCACTTGTCGTTCAAATTTTAAATGTATTAATTTCCTGCTATGCGTTCCAATTGTACCAACTTATTTCTTTGTAAAATAAAATAAACCACTTTAAAATTAAAATGACAGACACATCTATCACTGTCAAGGATCTTGTCGTTGGACAGAGGGGCATACTGAGTAAATAAAAATACAACTTGACGAACGATAAATTACTTAAAAAAAATAATTATTCGGTTTGAAACAACTTGAATTGGAAGTTTGTTGAAAACAACAAAAAGAATTGAAAGAGAGAAACGTTTGCTCAGCCGGTAGATCAGCAGTAACATAACGGTGGTATACTGATGCTTCCAAAACCATAGCAGAAACAGAGAGAGGAGTATTGGAACCGAAAACCAAATACTCTGAAACAATGGACACCTACCCCAGCATCCTTCAGGTAGAAATCTACGCTGTCGAAAGATGCGTACAACTTATCTTAGATAGGAACTATCGAAAACAGTAAATAGCCTTCTTTTCCGATAGTCAAGCAGCATTAAAAGCGATCAGCTCAGTAACCATCAATTCGAAGTTGGTTAAAGAATGTCTAGAGAAGCCGAACAAATTAGGCAAAGAAAATAAAGTTCTACTGCTCTGAGTGCCAGTCCACCAAGAGATAGAAGGTAATAAAAAAGCAAACGATCTAGCTAGAAAAGGAACGAGCACTCCCCACTAACTGGACCAGGACCAGGATTCTTCTTTCAAAATGGAAACCAACTTACAACCGAGAGAAAACAAAGAATTACCTTGATTTATATAAGAACAATCTGCTGATTGTCACGAGGTTTTTAACAGGACACTGTCTCCTCAATAAAAACCTCAGTATATAGATTGAAACTAAGAAACAAGGACGAATTCTAAATGGAGAAACACCAGAAACACCAGTCACTGAGTACGCCGAGACGACAACCATTCGTGCCATAAACTTTGGTACTACTGATATCGGAGATGAAGAACTTTCTGTAAAACCGTCTCAGATACTGGCTTTTATCAAAGCCCTGAGACTATATGATGAGTAGAACTATAAGATTCGGTGGTTAACTTACAATATACGGTTATTTAAAATATTACAGTTTATAGAAGGGTAATTCAAACTTTATGTAGGTGATCTTCATAAAAAAAGAGAGAAAAGTACAAATGGAAACATATTTTTATAACCTAAGAGAGAAAAAGATATCGAAGCGGGACTAGACTTAGGATTAAATTTTATGTAACGTTGAATGTCATATTTTTAATCCAAATGGGTTTTACGTATTAAATTTCATTAATTCCGAGGTTAAGCCGGGGGCAAATTACAGCATAAAACATGGCGGTGGGGACTGCTCTGCGCGTATGCGAATCGGCCTTAATGGATTTTTGCCACAAAGCCACATCTGGTGATTTACAGAAAAAGGTATTTCGTGTATTTCGCTATGAGTTATGATGCGAAAGAGGTGAAAGCAACGGGTGTTACGAGAAAAACAACCTTACAATAGAAGAATGATCGCTTAATAAAGGATTTATTAAACTCGTTTCTAATAATATAGAAAAATTTATGGAGCACACCGCCGCGGCCGGCGCTGCTTGCTCCTCCAGCTTTCCAACAATTTAATAGCATCAATTTAATAAGATAATAAATTGATTTTTTTTGTAAAATTGAATATTATATCCAAATCAAAAACACAGAATTCAATAAAACGTCAAGTTTGAAGCAGCTATTCAACAATTTTGTTATAAATTTTTAGATTAGACTTGGCAATTGCACAATATGATATTCTACTAGTTAAAAAAATATTGTTCTTAAGTACACTGTTTAGATTTATTTAGTAATTGAAATGGCCATATTATAAATTTATAAAAATATACCTATGTGGCGGATTCGTCTCTCCAAAAAATCCTATATGGGTATTGATACTAACAATTTATAAGAAAATTGTTGAAATAAAGCTTCAATAGAAACTAAATAACATAAACTTATTTTTTTAATTTACGTTTTTTGCTGCATAAAAAACGGCGTATTTTTTTACCTTAACTTAGAAGTTTGAGTTTTTCACAGCTTCAAGGGGCTCTAGAACTGAGTATATGGTTTTAATTTCAACTCCATACCTCCACGCGTTCCCGAGATAAACGGTCTTGACCGACAGACGGACGGGCAACGAAGTTGTCCTATAAAGGTTCCGATTTTTCATTTTGAGGCACGGAACACTAAAAGGCGGTAATGTTTTTATTATTTTGGTTTGTATGCTCTATGGTATGCTAAACAACAGTATTTATCTCCTTTAGACAACAAATGAACATATTTTATTCCATTTCTTCTCACTTCCAAATATTGATTTTGGGTATATTTAAAGCGGCGCGGCGGGTTATCATCTTTTTCCTTTGTTGATATTTTCTTGTTATTTATAACCCCTTTCATGCTCGGCCGGTAAAATTTTATGTTTACCGGTGCCCATCCCCGTTTGCGCTGTTTTGTTTATACACTTTTGATAGATTTATTATTAGAATAAAGAAAAAAGCATTTACTTTGTTGAGGTAAATATTTAGGAAAGGTGTGAAGCGGAAATTCGATATAGATGCTATAATTTTAGGGAAGAAAATATTTAAAAAAATATACAGGGTCCTAGGGATAGGAAACTAAAATACTCCGAACCAATGCAATGGACACCTCATCACCACAATCAAATTTTTTCTCGAATTAAGTAAGAGAATGTAACGGGGTTCGTCAATTTTCGAATTGTCACAGGGTTTGTAACAAGACACTCGTCAATAAACAGCTCAGAAGATTGCAGCTAAGAAACAACGGCAAATGCAGATTCTGTGGGGAAAATGGGGAAACACCAGAACACATCATCTCTGAGTGCGCCGAGACGACAACCATTCGTGCCATGAACTTTGGTATATCTATACCTTTCTATATCTTTGGACTAACCTCTGT